ATATGATTGTGGTGGTTAGTAAATAATAACGTATGCAACGATAAATTATCACTATGCATTTAAACAGTGTCATGCGACATACGCGTTGTATTGCGATAAAAATGACAAACATAAGTCATTTCGATGAAATTCGTTAAAAGTAATTTCTAAAAATAATTTCTAAAACTACGTAGTAAGCATCCAGTTATTTAAGTAGAGTTCTAATTTACAACAAGGATAAGCATAACCACAAAGGACTTTGTATTTTGTAACGCACATTAATAAAATGAAAATTATAATCCTTTGAGTATGTAATAGTATAATTACTTATGCATGTGTACAAGTGTTCGCGGATATTAAAATGGAAAGTATTTTATTATTTAGAGATAAACGAAAATGGGACTGTTAATATTTGAAGTTTACATTTTAGCAACGTTGTTACATTGTATAATAAATTTTTAATTATTTATGTAACAATCTTCCAGACTTTCCATGAGTATTACACCTTGCAATGTTTTGTAAAAGCTTTTTGCAACATACGCATCAATAAGACTTAATTTGGAATTCTTTTTTCTATTAATATAGTGACATTATTTCGATATATGAATAATACCTCTATAATATTTATAATTTTGTAGAGTATGTTTGAAAACAGCAGGATCTGTTGCAAACATACATTGTTAAGTTTACACCGTAGCAGCATTATAAAAGGTCGATCGAATATGTTAGAGACGGTTTGTAGCATTTAAATACGTAACGTACGTTTATATCATTTAAATTTTAAGAGCTGATTATTTGTTAGTAAACAAGGGATTTGAAGAAATACGAGTTTATGTGACTTCTCTACGTTACCTGTCGTTTTAGATTTTATTAAATATAAATTTACACATCGAAGTTACTTTTCAGTGACACTAAAAAATTACAGATACTCTGTCAGGTACTTCTGTCACTAATTTCAGAAATTATCACCAATACGTGTTACATAGACAGTCATTGTTAAAGTTATCATAGTTTCATGTACATTACATTTAGAATGTAGAGGTTTTACTTAAATGTAAATTTCCTTCGAAATACTAAGATCACATTTTAATTTATATCTGCCAGAAGACAATTTTAATACATATGAAGAAAGAATTTTGTTACTTTCATGCCTTCAGTCAATAGAAATCTGGTATTGTTCAAAGTCTCTTCTTTTTTGCAAGAACTGCTCTAAATTGAGGTGTATTTTACTATTTTCCTCTTTCATGAACACGTCACTGTTTTCAAATGACTCGTCTGTCAGGCACTCATGACGGAGACTACCACCTACATTAATCTCCTAGACTTCCGTCACGAATTAACCTATTCAATTTACTTTTCGCTTATGCAATTAGACTACCTGAGTAAGAATTAGCAATGCTTCAACACAGATTTCTCTGAATTATGATTGCATTCAGATATTAGTCATGCTACTATATTAAATGACTTTAACATTATCTTGACACTTTTATAATTCTTATTTTTCAGTACAATAATAATCAGTTGAACTTCAGGATCTCAAAACTAAGTTTCAATCTATATGCATAAAATTGTAGCTTAAAAGATACGATTGATTAAACTAATAATTGACACCAAACCAGTAATACCCAATAATATTAGTATAATGAAAGTAATTCCAAGCTTCGAGAAATGAATATTAATAAAAGAACTACAATTATTCATATTAATTTTAGAATAGCGCACGCTGCTCATTTTTACCAGTATCGTATCGTTACTTTGGACTTCTTTGAAACATTCTTATCCGAGGGAACAGTGTTTCTGTGCATTAAATCTCTGTGGTAGGGAATTTTAACCAACGCAGTTCTGAATGGGAAGCTCAGTATACTTCCAAGCGGTAAAGCTATCAAGTCACGCGATTCAGAAGTAAGTACTTCATTTTTAAATTGCTAGATAATACAATTTTTCGAAGACTTACTCCTTACAGTATTTTTCTCATATTTAAAAAGCAACACAAAATGTCAGTTTTTCAGTAAATATATTCTTTAAATATATTTCCATAAAATGTGTCTTCATCCACTCTTTTCCTTAAGATACAGTTTAAATGAATTATTTTACGAAGAAATGTAATTCTCCTATATTGACGAAGAGATTGTATGTGTAGAAGATATATAAAAGTATAAGAGTAATTACGTGCAGAATTATGTGACAGTGATTTGCATAAAAATCGATTTAGACATGAATAACATGACTTTGACATTTGACAGTACTAACAGTAAGCGTACCATTAAAAGATTATGGGTATGTTAATATTTTATAAATAACAGTGACAAATCATAGTCTGGAAATTGCTGATTTCATGTTGATGTAGAGTTCGATTTAGTTCTGTAAAAAGATGATCAATTTAAATCTCCATTCCGATGGATCATTTTCTCAGGGAAGCACTCTGCTATGAAGCGATAAAGTTCACGAAGTCTTTCCTGGATGGTGAGATGTGCACAGCTATAAATTTAGATGCAAAGTAATATCGGAAGAACGGTACAGTCGTTATTTGTTTCATGTACAAGAATAAGAATTCCGGTGACAAATGTAGAATAGGTGATTGATATGATACTGCCACGAGTTAAGTCTTTGAGAACATGTTACTCTGGTAGTTGTTGTAATCCTATTGAGTATACTACTGATTTTTTAATAATAATTTTATAGATATAATCTATAGATATAATCAGAAAGTTCCAATTAACAGGGTACTATTTTCAACGTGTTCTTTATGTTCACTGTTGTTATTAAAATGTTAGTTTATCTTCAGGTTTTTACAAAAATTTTGTTGTTTTCATTCAGTAGTAATAATGATAATAGTACTGATAATTGTTCTAATTCTGTTCACTATATTTTCAATTTTGTAATAATAGTTGTATAGTTATGACATAGAAAGTTTAATAGTTGGTAATCTAAATTCTAGTATTATAATTCGACTAACGTTTTTTTGTGTGTTTTATATTTTTTATGTTATCTCGAGGTTGTTACCAAAATCTTGTTTTTATTCAATAATCCGTAAAGTTTTTGAAATGAAATTAATTATTGAAAAAGGACTGTGGTCTAGACTGTAATGAATACTAAGCAGTTATTTAATCTTTAAGCTGGCAAAAGTATCCCTTTTGGAACATTGACAAAGCTTGAAATTCTACGCAGTGCATATGGTACACATGTATACATAAATTTTTGGCTAAAAGAGACCACTTTTTTTATGAAAAATGCCGACAGTCTAAAGGTTAAAGAGAGAAATTTTAGTCGACCCAGTGACAAGTATATTCAAGGTAATCAAGGTAGAACGTTCATTTTATATACATATACTGGTCTCTCTAATTTCAGCATAATACAGACGTTAGTAAAAATAGTATTCTATAGCTACATTTAGTTTCTTTTAATGCTCACAACAATCGATGGTAACTGACAACTCTGTACACATTGTGTGTGAATTCAAAAGAATAACTACTTAATTACCGGAAAATGAGGGCACGAATCTATCAGCGTATTAATGTTGCATTGTATTGTAATCTCCTTTTAAACTGAGAAACGTGTGAATGTGAGTGAATATTTTCTGAATAAATTGTGACAGCCGTTTTTTATTGTTACCAGTCAGAATAAGATATTGCATACTACTGCTCTTATAAATATGCATACTTACACAAATTAATGTTTTTATAGACTGATCCACTGAAATGGTGACAAGGTTTTTAAATGAAACGAAAGTTTCCTTAAAGTTTATTGAATCTTAGATTTTATTGTGATTACTCGAGTGTATACGCTATAAATGTAAGTACTTCAGTTATAATATACAAGGTGGACCACGATATGTGATAAGCTAAGAAAATTTGTTGCATTCTTAACCACCAGTGCATGCGTCATAAATAGAACTAAGCAGTTGTTTGTTAACCGTTTACGTGAGTGTATTGCAGCTGATGGATACCATTCTGAACATCGTTTTAATCAAGGTAAATGATATTTTCTTAATGTTTCTTTGGTTTCGAAGGAAAAAAGTTATTTGTTCTGATGCTTGTCGAATTCGTCTCAGTATCCGTTAAAAGATGGGCGTAAAAAGATTATAGGTTTATCATTAAAAAACTGGTGTCCTTGAAACCTCTGAAAAAAACGATTGACGAAAAATTTAGTACCAGCATCTTAAAGTCTCCTTGAATCATGTTGTACTAGCTAAAAAAATGTTCGATCGAACAGCTAGCAATAGAATAATTTTAGCTGATCATGTTTCGTGGTCTACCTTGTATGAAGTGTGCACTTAATAACAATGGATTATTCATTAATTTGTAAGGTACAAGTAAATTTTATCTTATCGATTCATTACCTCATATAACACACCCGTATTGGAAAGAGGAAATCGGTTCATTCTATCTGAATGTTATTGACTCCAAGTTTATGTCTTTTAGACCGTTATAGTGAATATAAACATAAGACGTTGACATTGCATTTACTGAAACTCAACAAAAACCTGTCCAACTAGAGATATTGGATATATTACGTTCCATACTTTAATAATATTATGCAGTATTTCATTCTAATTCTATACGCTTTAAAAGATAAAGTATTAAACAGTATGAGATTGCATAGAATTTCTCATGCAATATAAGATCAATATTAGTGTACTATCAATATTAGTCCGTAAGTTATGATTCACCAATTTCAATTTAAACTCTACACGAATGTATTGTAAGGATCGATATAATGAATTCGTTTCATTGCAATGAAACGAGAAGACTGTTCTGTTGTTGTGTCATCCAGAACCTAGAAGAGTTTAAAATTTCTTTTGTCTAGTAAGTTTGAAATCTTAATAAAGACAAATTATTCCGATAGTAACGTTTCACGTGTATATATTCAACGAAATTATGATTACATTAATAATAGACAGATGTGAGAAGAATAAGTTCAGTGACGCGACCTTCTAATAATTCAAGGTTGCAGGAGAAGAAAACGTATTTAAACGTGTGATCCGCCTAAGTTTCGAGCACTTTCTGTAAGTACGACGAACACCTTCGTTGGACTCCAATTTCAACGCTTCCTTGACCTCAAAGCAGTCGAAGGTAACTATTATATATACATATAAGTATTATGTATATTATTGAAATATTATACAAGAAGAAAGCATTTCGATACATTGAAATCGGGATCACTTACAAATAATTTTGGAAAAGTAACCGTATTGTTATTTTATTGATTCATTAATATATTTCAATTATATTCAAGCAGTAAATAACAAATACATATACACCTGATAGAAGTGTATTTCACTGTCATTTGTAGTTTTAATAAATGCTTCTTATAGTGTAAGAAATTTCATCAACATTGTCGTGGAATGAACTTTAATTACAGGAAGAAATTATCGCATTATTAGTATGTGTATTTCAAGCACGCCTACAAAGAGGCGACGAGAAAACGACTTTATGATAGTAATATATAGTATACTTCAAGGTATCTCATACTGTTTTAATGCTTGATTGTCTGTTATGGTTAGTCTGATGGTGTCTGTTCACTTTTAACGTTCACAAAAACGTGTAAAATACATTAGATTAAGATATTTAATAAGATATTGAATAGAAAACTAATTTTCTTCGACCCAATTTTCCTTACGACAATCCATGAAAATGAGAATTTACATGAACGTTCGTTGTTAAATAATAATATAATACTGTAATACATGTAAATCATGTAGAAATAGAAATAATACAAGTAACAGACATAATGTAACTACATAGTAAAGGAATACGAGTCATAATACCTATACAATAATGAACGATGCGTTTACAATGGGTTCTAGACTTATTTTTTTTTATTTTTAAACGCCAGATAAAACCCTGCCACACGTTTCCAAGGAAAACGATTTTAAATATTTATCAAATACATACACAATTCAATACAGTATGGCTGATATGCCTATACGATACTCACGAATTTTGTCTGTGACTGTAAATGGTAACAGTAGTTTAATCGTAACTTGAAATAAATTGGTAATTGAAAACTGTTAAATCCTTGAACAACAAATAACACCAGATCACTGTCTACAAAGGTTGCGGTAGAACGATTGGTAGAATTTGAAAGGATGTGATTCTACATGCATAAATGCTTAAGTCGAAAATGTACAATAAAATTTTTACGTACGATGCTTGGTTGTCGAGAAAATCGAATTTGAAAATCTACTGGATACGAGTACAACTGAATAGGACCTGGATAACACGTCTGGTCATGGCATTCTGTTTCTACTTATTTTCATGATGAATACATACACATTAAATGAATTTTGAAAATTGATTATCATGGATACAGAGCATCGTACGAAAAAATATTGTTCTACATATTCAACTTATTTTTGCATACAGAACCACCTGCTTTCTAATGGTAACACCATTCTGGAAACACTCTGTACATAGAATCTTCCATTTTAATTAAGTTTGTCCAGTCATAAAAAGTGTGCACTGATCTGACTATATTATATTTAAATATATGTTTCTCACACCTACAGACATGAATATTGCATGGATTTTAACAGTGACTGGTTGCTTGTTTTACCTCCAACCGAGCCATGCCGAACTCAAACTTGTACAGACGTTATTTAGACATGGAAACAGGATGCCATCATATGGAAGGAGGATATATCCGAACGATCCTTACAGTGCGATGACCTATGAACCGGAAGGATTCGGAGGTCTGACAAATGTATGTTGCATTTGGTTCAGGGTGTTTCAATATTCTATAATACAGGGTATCTGTTTTAACTGGGCTGGATGGAATATCTCGTAAGGAACTGACGGTATTATAAACATATTTTTCTTAAACTTGTTTGGTATGAAGGGGTAACATTATGTGGTATAAATAATTTTTTTGTAGGTAGAGTAATGGGAGATATTTTAAGGTCAAGTCAATTTTCTTGAAGGAATGCTACATTTTTCATTCACAATATGATATACGTTTGCTGAGATGAGTTCAATGATGTACCATATAAGGTCAGTGAGTGTATTAGGTGGTTGAGAATTAGTCAGATATTATTATACTAATATTAAGTAGTCAGATCAATGTGAGCGAGGATCTGGTGCAACTCTGTAGCACTGTTACTTAGGATTTGATAGCACACCACCTATGATCACGTTGATCTTAATCCGTTGAATTTTAGTATTACTAATAATAATAATATAATAATAATAATAATAATAATACTTTATTTCCTCTTGTCTTCCGGTTTTGCGGCGACTGCTGGGTACACAGTGCCCGATACAGAGTGCCGGGTACATATGCAGTACTTAATACTAAAACGATACATAAATATAAATACAAAAAAAATGTATCAGTTCAGAGTTACAAAAACTACACGACAATAACGAATTCAACTCATTCAAATACATATTTACGATTTCCTACCGCGCTCAGTGATCATATGTGAAGTATTGTTAAACTCGTCGTAACAAATGTCAGCATGTTATGAATAAGGAAATATGGCATTCCTCTTACAACAATTAATTTCACCTTGAAATCTCTCCCACTACTCTACCTACGAAAAAATTATTTGTACCATACTATGTCTGCCTTAATATCTAAGAACTTTCATCGGAACATTTTTTGTTTCAACTTGTAGATCTTTATGAAATATTCCATCGAGCGCAGATAAAATAGACACCCTGCATTATAAATTAAAATGAAGAAGAAAAGTTTCAGAAACAGCCATCAGATGTTAGTAATACTTACGTTATGGAGCTATAATAAATTTTGAAAGGGACCACCATTTTTATTAAAATTCAATTGTAAAACTCAATTCGGTGCAATAGTGACCGATAAATTCGATAAAATGTAATTGATGTAATATTCTTACTAGCAACTAATGTATTGCGTATAGTCTCTTTACTACAGCTTTGACCAAAGGATTTCATTAATGTAAAATTTTATTCGGTGCACTGATGAATTCGGCAAACCGTCTTTCACATACACTAGTACTCATAAATAGACTGTGAACCTTTATGGAAATATCAATTTCTAAAGATTTATTTACGGCAACTAAAAACAAACAGGAAACTCTTTACTGCAACAAACGTTCTGTCAACTCCTACATAAAATGATGACCCTACAGGAATTTATTACTTCTTTTACTATACTGAATTTCAAACAACTGGGTACGCTATAAATGCATAAAATACGCGGTCTACTCATAAGTGTTTTCCTATTCATGTTAAACACACTTGAATGAGAAGGTGCCAAAATTAAAACAAAAATCTAGTTTTCGTCGGAATAAAGGTCATAAACCTAACAAGTTCATAATCCTTTACTGAAAATTCTGAAAGTGAAATTTAAATGTAATAAAAAAAGTAAACGTTTCTTCGATAGCACGGCAAATACTTATGAGTGGTAGTGTATACAATTATTTCTTAATGATATATTCCACAGTCCCGTTATTGTAACTTTTTGGCAGAAGCACTGCTCTCCTTCAGTGTTATTTACTATATTACATATTCGTTTCTAACACCGAGTCAATGAAACTGTTTTCTTTATTCTACGTCTCCAATCTCTTCTTTTCAAAACACCATTGAATAATAATACACTGCGTAGTCGCCATTGGCTAGATTGCGAATGTTTATGTAAATTAAATCGTTTCTAAGTTACTTTCGAAGAATGGTGATTAGTAGAGTACGGATTTTTATGCAAAATGAAAGTTTCTAATGTACTTTATAAAGACAGGAGGAATTGTAGAAATTTATTTTCCCTCTTAAGTATTTTTTTGGGTTCAAAATAAAATAGAGACCTCGTTGGATCCGATGAAAGTTTGATTTTGTATTGTATTTCACAGAGCCTTATAAGCTATAAATGCATAAAATCCGCAGTTTAGTCATTAGAAAGAAATCAATAGTTTCTATTAAGCACTTCAACAAATTTGGAACAAACGCAAAAATCTATTGAAAAGTCATTAATTATTATGATTTGCAGAAATATATAATGTTTGTACTACATAATATTAATTTATTATGGTTTGTATAAATCCATAAAATTCTCAGTATAATGGTATAAAAATTCTCAATGGCTGCTTTAATTATTCACAAGACGCAAAATCGATTTTCAATAATGTAAGTGAATTGTCAAAAATTATTTATTTATTTAGGCTGGTAAAGAGTTGGCGTATAAGCTCGGTCAGTACTTCCGCGAGAGGTATGACAAATTTTTGGGACCACTTTATTCGAAGGAAATCGTCCGATTCCGTGCTGACGAGAACGAAAGGGTTGTGATGACCGCAGAACTCGTGGCAGCCAGCTTGTTCCCGCCGCAAGAAGAGCAAATGTGAAGTTAAATTTCAATTGTTAATAAAGCATTTACGAGAATGTCGTGAGAGAATGTCGACCGATAAGAACGAAACAATTGCATCTTATAGATGGAATTCTCGTTTAAACTGGCAGCCTATACCAATATGGGCACCGGAGTTTTCGAATGATCATCTGTACAACGGCATGTTTTGCCCGAATTTCATGAAATGGAGGATCAATGTAGAAAAAACAGACCGCGAAGTGATGAAATTCGAGGAGGAGAACAAAGAAATCTATAAGTATTTGTCTCAGCATACAGGGGCAAATATCACGCAAAGTAGTACGTTCAGTTTGCGTCAGATATTCTACGAACAGGTGAACCATATTATTAATACGCCGTTAAAATTTGTTAAGTATTCATGCTAGTAAGCAATAACGTTATGACGATATTTAATATAACAACGGCTAATAACGATGTTATATTCGACAGGGAATTCTAATTTATTTAACCCTCGAGCACTGTTCGAATCAATTTGACCTGAACTCAGACTTCAACTTTTAATTAAATACATTATTACAGGAACATGTAAATTAATTAGAATTCAGTAGCTTGTATAATAACGATCTAGCGACATGTAAGTATATTTAATTCTATTTTAGCTAGAAGTTTAATTCAAGGAATAGTAATGCAAGAATTTATTGAAAAGCGCACGAGGATTAAATATGTATCGTACTATATTTGTGTTATGAAAATTTTATAACTTCACATCAAATTCATAAATTCAGTATTAAATTCCCGTTTTTGTAGAACAGTCATTCAAAATTTGTTACATAGGTTTGACTTGTTAGAATCAACTTTGTCTAGTGTAATTTTTAATTACGCGACATTAATAATATCATGCTAATGGTATTTTAGACGTTTAAGAAAACTGTTCTGACATAAGAAAAGTTGAAATGTTATTACTAGATTGGAAACGATTGGTGTGTTCGACGACCTTGCCACTATTACGCGAAATAAAGATATGCAGGTGAAGCTATATAGATAATGTATTTTTAACATTCTTAGACAGATATTGGCTTAGAATTGCCGAAGTGGACAAAATCGGTCTTTCCGAATGGAAAACTCGACGAGCTTGCCGTATTTGATATTCACATTCGCACTCGTACTCCGGAATTGAAAAAATTACTGGGTGGTAAGTTTAAAATTTATTCTACGGTTCTTAAAATAATATTTGCTAAATCATAATATTAATTGTACATATGACTATCATATTAAATTAATAATTAAAATATTAATCCAAGGTCTGCTGAACATTAGATAATGATATTGAAATGGAAATATTGAAAAAATTATTTTTACATCATCACATTATTACATTATTCTCCATGATTTTCCTTGACAGGAGTATGGATACAGGAGTGGTTAAAGAACATCGACAATTATTTAAATGGGAACGACAATCGGAAGGCGTTTATGTATGCTGGGCATGAATTGACTATTGCTCCTATTCTTGTCGTATTAGACAATTTCGACAATAAAATCCCTTCATACTGCAGCTCTTTGATAGTCGAGTTACACGAAAATAATAATAAACATTATGTGCAGGTATATTGTAATTTTTAAAAGTAATTACGTATAACTTATAGTTTAAAATTAAGCACATGTTCATGAAAGAGTGGAAAAGGGTAAGATGTATGAAATATTAAATGTGATTAGAAGGCACTAAATTTTGCTAACGAGTGTTCACGTTCACTCTTACTATTTCTAAAAAGTAAAATATCGTTAAGGTAATTAATTAATTCAGTATAATAATACAACACTGCGCATAAAAATGTTTTACACTCAATTTTATGCACTTTTATGTACACTTTCTAAATGGTACTTGTTAACAATACTAGTGTTGCAGGTTCTTAAATAATTCCGTATTATGTTTCCACTGTTCATAGGTGTTATACAGAAATAACGATGATACCGGTATTCTGAAAATTCCCGGATGTGGTACCGGAATGTGTCCCCTAGAAACTTTCAGAAACTTCGTGGCACCTATGCTGCCCGAAGATATTGGAGAGTTATGTGGAATTGAGGAAGACAGTAAATCAACAGTGCAGCAATAAATTGTTGAAAAAAACGATTTACGTAATGTTTGTTAATAGTAGTTCAGTAATTTCTCTTAATAATTTCCATGTCTTTGATACTATAATTTACAGATACACTGAACTTACAAATTAATGAGAATAATGAAACAATACTGTACCAAATAAAAAATGATATTTCCAATCATACATAAAAATTATAAATCATTTTCATATAATAATCTTCAAATTTCTACATCTTGGTAGGTGACTTCAAACTTTTAATTTTTTTACTTAAAATTCATTTATTGTCCTGTTGAATGACGTTTAAAGTATAATACAGTATAAGCTTTAATGTACATTTCAAATATTTCATAAACTGATTTGTGAAAGTTATTTGATGTGGTACCGCTCAGAGTTCCGTAGCTAATTGCATAAGAGCCGTATCAGATTCCAGTATTACGATGCAGACTACTTAAAGGTCAAGGGACTCAATGTCAACCGCGTAAGTATCAAATGATCCGATAAGGTAACACTTGATTCACAATACATACGGGACATGGAGTATAACATAGATACTACATTATAAGATACCTCGAACTATCCCTGACAAAAGACAGATAACGTGAATAAATTATGATTTAAATTACCAACTACAGACCATTCCTTTAGGCCTAACCGTCCAGGCTTAAGAAACATGATGTGGAATATTTAAATGTCAAGAAAGATGATGCAGGCTAAAAAATCATAGTATGATACACCCTAGTCTTATAAAACCGGTTAAAGGCCATCTTGGACTCAAGGTGGTCCCTGGGTGGTCAATGTCGAGTTTCTTGAGTTCATGATGGTATCTATAAGATCTCATTAGTTCAAGAGGTCCGTATCGGGACTTCTGAGTCTGGGGATGTACGTAACGGGTTTCTTATGATCTGTGCAGTCGAGTGTTTTAAGTCGGAAGTAGTTTACCCAATCTATTAAATTTAAGATAATCTTTATTGAATATTAAATGATCAGGGAATACAAATAAATCAGGGGACATCCCCATAAAGGCTTCTGAGTCAGGGACATTCTCTACTAGCTCTCTTGAGTCTTGATCAGTATCGAGTCTTTGAGGAACCTAACAGATATCGCTCTAAATGTATCAGTCCCATATAGATAATTTAAGATTTAGAATATCGATTTATTTTAATTTTTAAATTTCTGTTGTCCAATTCTAGTTTTATAACCGAAAGATGGTCTAGTTCCGGCTTCACGATACTGGATCAACCGACATGTGTTTAATGACATTGCCCAATTTTGATCTCAAATTCTGTCAAAGTTCACGAAATATATTCTATCCATAATTCAATGGTCATAATCACGGATACTCATCCTTGCTTTTTTAGTGGACAATTAAAAGTGTACGTAATTCAATTTGAAATGTAGTAATAGAATTCATGTTGCTCTTATACAATGTTTTTTAGAGATAGCCCTGTATCTTTAGATATATTATACATGTAAAAAATATTATAGTGCCTTTTGTCACACTTCCATGCTATGGTGTACTTATGCATTCATATTTATCACTTGTGTAGAATTATAATTTAATGTGGTTGAAAAGTGTAAAAGTAACGGTTCTATATTGAGCAAATGAGAATCAGTAGGATTGACGTAATAGAAATAATTGTTATAAATCGTCAGGCAATCTGACAGATTGACGAAAACGAATATAGAGTGGCAATTACCATTGGAAGTATTATCTTCTCACCTAATCTCGCCTGGAGGGGTATTATCTAGTGCAATTCAGGCTGGCACACTCAAAATAGCTTAGATAGCCCAAGCGAATCCACGGTGTGTAATGAAAGAAGATTGATCTGACGGTGAAATAGTCCGACTCAGCCATCTGCAAGTGTAATTGCCAGGAAGTTCATTGAAATTGTTCAATTATTATACTTTCAACTGCACAAAACGTAAGTCAATGATTCAATAGTAACAAATATTCATGTATTATTCGTACTAACTGGAATTTTTCTGGATTAAATTCAGGAGGACCAGTAAATTGTTTTAAATTAAACGTCCGATTGCATTCTATTATATTTTACAATGTATACCACTGAGATTAAATGCCAACACATTTGAAATAAATGTCGCTAATAAAAAGACAGATATAGGTATAAATTAGCAGCAGAAACGATACGCATGAAAGTACTAAAAATTCCCAATGGAGATCGACCAGGTTAGGGGAATCGAATAATACAACCGATAGCGAGGGTAAAATACCCCTCTTCCTCATTTCACGATTGTCTGGTAGTCGAACCTTTGCGTGACAATGTCCAATGAACTTTAAGCTATGTGCTCATAGCATTGAAATATGGAAGTTTTGTACACTAGAGAATACTAACAGTAATGACATCATTACATTTAAAGTAATGTACCAAACATGTATTTATAATCAAAAGTATGCCAGCTTTGAAGGAAATACATGTCTTATTGTCAGTTACAAGGAAACAGTATTTATAACAGTCTATATAATAACTAATTTCAGAAGGAAACTGTTAAAATAGGTACGTGTTACATATATGTTTCATATACATGCTTTTGGAAACAGAACAAAAGTAATTAATAACATTACTATATTTCATATATTCAATTTTGTTACTTCTCACTCTGTATATAATATTTACACTAAGACACGAATAAGAAGGAAAACATAAATATATATAATAAAAGGAAAAGTATAAAAGTTTGGAGCGAAAAAATTCATTGGTTCTTTTAATTTCAATGTGATTTAGTAAGGCATTACGCAACGATTTTATTCGTTCAGAGTTAAGTATGGAATTGTTTGGTCTTAAATATGTAATCTTCTGACATTGTTTGGTGTTTTTGAGATCTAGTTTACTGATCACATTAATTCTACTGACTGAGAATAATAATTTGCTAAATCAGCAGGGGTCGGCAAACTACGGCCAGCGAGCTAAGAATAGATTTTACAATTTCAAATTGTAAAAAATTTCAAATTACGCGCCATAACGATCGCTTAGCTATGACGCTCTTAGTAACTGAAATATTTACTATTTGGCCTTTTACAAAAAAAGTATGCCGACATCTGTGCTAAATCATTCACGAAACATAAACTGCGTTGCATGAGACTGCAAAGGCCATTAATACGTGGTTGATATAAAACTGATAATCCGAGAGTTTCAATTCAAGTCATATTCTTCTCGATGACTATAGTTTTCGATATGAAATTACGAGTATTAGTTGTTGTTCTATTAAATTTCCGGTTTGAAATAACGTGTTAACGTATTAGTTAATCGAAAATCTATCGTTTGTAAAAAACAGATCTTATCTTTCATCAAATATTAGAAATTTACATGCAACATGTCTCAATTAAGGTAACATCACATTGCATGTGCCTCATGCTCGTGATTTTATTTATGTATAGAAACATGATACGATTGTTTCGTAAGTTTGTCAACCCGACTTACGAATATCAGAAATGAGTTCAAAACGTTTAAGATAATTGAATCGTTAAGGTATTTAAAAGATATTATTACTGTTATTTCGGTATGATTACTGCAAATGAAGTCTTTGTCAACCCTTCACAAAAATGACAAAGATCTAATAAAAATACTGGAACAAAGCATATGGTACCTGAATTCATACGAAAGTGGTAGTAACAGGTGTATCCAGTACGTGAAAGGGGAGACAGATTGACAGAAGGGTAAGAATGAGGGACGGAACTAGGACAAACATATACAAGCGGATAAGATAAAAGAAATACAAGATACCGGCATACGGAAAAACAACGAAATTCTATCTCTTCAAATATTGTCAATGAACATATCCACTAACATTCTCATTAATAACTATCTTTCTCTAAAATGAATCAAAGAATTATTACGAATGGATAGATCCTCGAAGCATTATATAACGATAGGAGACTACACCATTAATAGATCGGAAAGATAGAAAATCTGTGAAAGTCGAAAAAAATTCAGGCATAAAATATCGAAGAAACATAAGCGCTGAAAAGTACTCCCGTAGAGGGGCAAGAAAATCGGAAAAGAGGATAAGAAACACGATGGTCGGTGGGGCAAAAAAGCGGGAGTGCAAGGGATGTGAGTAAATATGAACGAAGAAGAGAAACTAGAGGGACAAAGAGCACGACACACAAGAGGGCAAGGGTAAACCACTAAAGGGAAGAGCCACCGGGTGGAAGACCGACCGTTGTACTATAGGAAGCATAGCCGGGAGAGGGTGGGCGGGTTGAAACGGGTTCGTGGTAAATCCGCGAGGATGATGGTGGGTGCTGCCACCTGCGTGGAGGGCGTGGCGCTAGTTCTATCGGACGGTAGTCTAACGAGAGCTCTGGCACGCGTCGCACAGCTCGGGAGCCGAGCATTCCCGTCGCTTCGGGGGTACCGCGCGTGAGAGCAAGGGAGTGAGACATAGTCGTCGCAGGAGAGGGGTTGAGGGGTGAACAGTGTTACGGGGTGAGAAGGGAGGGCACACGCTACGTTTGTGCGCGTTGGTTAGAGGGAGTAGGACGAGGACTCTTGTCCGTGGATAGGGTAAGGGACAGACAGAGAGAGAGAGCGAGTAAGAGTATAACGGGTCGCGGCGTAGCGTCCTGATGGATGTGTGTGTGTAGCAGTGGAGAATACGGATCGTCCGGAAGAGTAATCTCTCTGAGATGAATGAACGGGAAATCGTGCGTGTGTCGTCGCGATGACATTGACAGTGTTCGAAGTCAGGACATGGCACGCGTTCGCGCCGCCAGGACGTTCGTGTAGAGCGGGTCCAGGATCATCACGGTGCTAATCAGCGACGAGAGGAGGATCAGCGAGAGCGAAAAAGAGAGAAAGAGAGGGAGTGTGGCGGCAGTGACCATGGCGCCCCTCCTCGCATGTAAACAGTGCTTCACGCTCGACGCACGCCTCGAGAGTAGCGTTCCTGGTGCCGCTACCGTCGTCGAAATCATATCCGCTGCCGTCGTTTCTCATGTTCACGTACGTCCCGTCGTGCCCGATGTGCAGCCGTCGGGATCGCCACGCTGAGAG